AACTTTTTTGGCGCGTTTTCGCTTCACTATCCGAGCCACATGTAGCTGGGTTTGACAACAGCGTATGCGTTATGGATATGCGTTGCAATGTTGCCTGTAATACCCTTTTCCAGGTGTCAAGCGACGTGGTTTTTCCTTATATTTTTATGACTTTTTTTCACAACTTTGAATGTCATGTTTTTGCCAGTTGCTTAACGACTTTGTTTTTCGGAACTCTAATAGCTAGTTTTCCAGATGTCTAATGACTTGGGAATATTCTTACAATTTCGAACACCAATAAAAGAATATGTCAATAAGTACAAAATAAGAAACTTCTAAAATTGGTTGTAAAGTTATACTTATCTTAATGAAATACGAATTTATGTATTAGATTTACGTAATAAATTTTACGTAGAATTTGTAATTAATCACTTAACCTTGATGAAATATGAAAAATGAGCGTTAAAAAAATTTTCAATTTATGATGCGAGTAAACAAAAAATAAATATAATGTTACAAATCTACACTTTACATAATATATTGAAATGATAGATATAAAATAAAAATATATCATTTAATGGTTTTTAAGAAGGGACTATTGACAGATGTATAAGTCTTATTAAAAGTTTATGTTCAAGAAAGTAATTAAGTAATTATTGCCCAGAGCATATTGTAGATTTATTTGAGAAGAACAACACGCACAAAATATCTCTTGTTTATGAAAATAAACAATTTTATTTAACAATATTTACTTTTGGTAATTGTAAAAGAAAAGAAGAGTTACCAGAATATCCATAAAAATGTAGGTGACAGGGTTTTGAGAGCTTCGCTAGGACGCCTAAGAGGGCAGAGTATAATATTTTAGGGCCAGTATTTAGTTCGTATCAATTAGGAATGAACAACGGTTATCGATATGATATATCTCTTTCCCATTTCTATCTCTTTTTTCGTAAGTATGTACGTACATTCGTATGTATTCCCAGTTTCCATTGTCAATATACAAGTATGTAGGTAGCAAATAAGTAAGGGACCACTAGAAGAGTTAAGGTTAAAAACTTTTTAAGCAAGTGTGCTATTTAAATGTTAAATTGGGGAATAGCATAATATATTGAAGTTACTACTATTTCTACTTTTCATTACTTCGATATGAAATATATTGGCTTTGATATTAGAGAACACGTTCCTAATATCCTAATTGTATCCTTTTTCTTTTGTATTTAATTAACTATATGTTAGGTTATATAAAATCCTTAGAGGAGAAAACTCAAAACTTAAAGAGAGTAAAATATAAATGTCTAAGTTAAATATTACTATAGTATACTTTTAAATTCTAAATCAAACTTAAAGAAATTCATGCATTTTATGGATATTCTTTTAATATATGAAAAATTATGAATATATTCGATCATTTAAATAAATATAATTACTTCTCTAATAAAATTAATATAGGATCGTTATGTGTTATTTAACGTACAATAATTATTAACATAGCACAATAAATACTAATTAATATAATTCCTACTAAAAAAGTTTCGGAATGTAGAAAAAAGTCATAATCTACTTTCAATACTCATTAATATCAAAGAAAATATCGCAGAAGTAGCAATATTAACAACTCAGGAGAAACTTCAAGTAAGAGCCTTTTGTAGTAAGAAGCGAGAGAGAGAGAGAGAGAGAGAGAGAGAGAGAGAGAGAGAAGCTATATATGCGATATATATTAAAACATGTTAGAAAATTGATATCAATTGAAATTATAGGGAAAAGACTAGTTGATGTAGAAAATGTAAGAAGTTGCAATTCTATGCTACTTATTGTAAAGACAAACGATTCCATATAGTATCAACCAATGTAGTGTTATTGAATATTCATGCGAATGAATATGTATCCTACTATGTATTGTTAATTATTTTTAATTTTACAGAAGTAAAAGACTAAATAGATATATGTGATTTTTTTACATGCACAAATTTTACTAAAAGGATATTTTTTATTAGACTGCAATATTTAAAAACAATTGCTATAATGCGTATAAATAGTTATTTATAATGTAAATTGCATGTTTGAGAAATTTAAATAATTAGTTATAGCTGTTATATTATACAAATTATTTGAACAAATAAGAAATGAAACAAAGTTAAAACCAGCAACAGTATCTAGTTATTGTGTTATCCGAAAGAAATTAAAAACTAAAAAGCATGTATATTGTAAGAAATAATTCTTGTTCTGTCATTTATAGACGGTATCTGCTTTTCTTTTTTCTGCAATACGATAATCTTATAGCTAATCCGCGAGTGTTTGCATATCCTTTAAAATGTGTTGTATTCACGCAACAAGTGTACCCCATCAGCTAAACTCTTAGTCCAACCCTCTCTTTATTTCTGACATCCCAGCAACTTCTTTCTCTTCTCATTTTTATAAGGTTTCATGTATACAGGGTACTCAAAATTTACATCTAATATAGATGTGTGAAATTTGAGTGTATATGAAAATCCTTATAAAATTCTATAGCCCATACTACCGAATTATATAAAATGCGCGCACACACACACACACACACACACACATATATATATATAAAGTTCTCGATTATATATTTACCAATAATTATCTGATGAATTTATCGATCCCTATACAAATCTTTTTAATAAAAGCTATTTAGCATACACATTATTAAATTTAATCTTTTTACCTAATTTGACGTCTACACATTTAATTTCTATTCAGTTTTTCGTCATTTCCAAAGTATACCTTATTATTTTTATAAACTTCCAACAATTGTCAAACTTTTTAAATTTAAAATACAAAATTTAAATTTACATAAGATGTTAAATAGTTTGATGATCTATATTCTTTCTATATATTCTCAATAAATTGAGTAAAAAAACATACTGCTTACATACTAATTATATTTGAATTATAGTAATTCAAAACCAACTTTTTATTAACCAAAAATTTTTACTTTTTAGAAAACTTTTTTGAATAAAAAGGCCAGAGAGTTCACGGAGATTTCCTTCTATTTTGTATTGGTTTCCGTTTATAATATAATATATTGGACAAAATTAATAAATCGATAGATTTATTCTTTACATTTTAAAAAGATATTTTTAACAAATTACTAACTAAGCCTACTGAGATTTGAAGATTATAAATTTAGCGACATTATAATTATGAATTAATAATTAAGAATAATCAGTATAAATTGATATTTACGTGTCAGATAAAAATTGAAAAAATGTTTTAAATAATATTTTACTATTGAAAAAAAGTAAAATTATTTAAGAATTAATTATTCAAGAATTAAAATTAATTAAAGTATATTTAATGAATTATATATTAGTATTTGTAATGATAATGTAAATGTTTTGTGGGCTATGTATGTATAAATCTGTATATATAAATAAGGTAAAATTATTATTTGTATGATTTATTAATTAGATTATTAGTAGCAATATTAATAGCAATAATTTAAATTGAAATTCATTAAAAATTATTTGTCGCCTTTTTATTTCGAGCCTTTATTTTGGAATACATAATAATAAATTTCGTTACATATTTAATAAAATTGAAATATCAAACTCAATTATGTATATTAAACAGCGAAATTTCATTAAAACGCGTGAAATATACTCGTAGACAAGCGAAGACAAAATAAATACAGAACATGCATTAAATTATAGCGGGGAGCATACCATAATGTAAAACTATAAGACAAGTGCCGAATATTCGACGAAAGGATGAGCCCCGAAAAGTTTTGGAGATAAATGTTCATTGTGTGCAGGATCTAACGTCTGTATATGCACGTGTAATAACCTACTTTTATAAAAGCTATAAGATCAAGGACGAGCAGGTGATACATTTCTCTTTAGCCCTCGAATCCTTTAACTTTTATATTAAAATTACTTTAGTAATTATAATAGTACTTATATATTAAAAAACAGAGTTACGTCTTCGAGAATATTACTTATGTATATAACGTATATGTTTATTACATTCAATATTTTCCACATTTAGTTTTAGTTCACAAAATTGTACATTTTTAACACTATAACGTAATATTAGCAGTATTTAGTAAGTATTATTTAATATTTATTTATATAAGCTATTATTTATATATAAGCTGTTATTTATATACTGTTAGAAATTATTTGTATATACATATTTAATTCACATCTAATATTAAATATTTATTATAATTCGTATATATATTCGTATTGCATGTGCAACACTTCGCGGTGTCTTTTCAACACAGTAAGAAAAAGTTGGCACTTTTTTCTACAGATTTAAACTGTTTTGTTAATATACCAAAATAATAATAGTTTTTATCACAATTTTACTTTAGTAATTTGTAAAAATTAAATGGAAGTTTCGCAATTATACATAAGTAAAAATCTGTAAGAATAAATAAATTTATAAATATATAAATAAATAATAATAAATTACTATAATATATTTGAACGTAACACCTATTAAAATCCACATTAATAAAAAGAGACTTCAATTTAGACTTTCGACTAATTAATATTAATTAATTAGAAGAATGTTCTTGTAAAAACATTACATGGAAATTACATTTATACGAAGTATTACAGATTTAATTACTTTTAGTTTCATTATTTTATAATTTTATTAGTTATTGATGAAATTGTCATTATTTACGTTATAATATCTCTATTATTTTTTTAAATTATATAAATTTGAAAATGTTTTAGGGAAATTGAATTTGGGGAATTATTGCACATGTTTAGTTTGTTTAAAATTTTATAATTGCATCAACATTAAGTAGTCTACAGTTGCACATGGATAATATATCTGTCAATTGAAGCAATCGATAAATAAAGCATCTCATTCTTGTAATTCAAAGTGAATAAATGACGCTTTACTTACATTTTGACACGAGAAAGTAAAGCATATTTACAGTGAAATCCAATTTTAAGTCCAACCAACAATTTTTCAACATCAATCAAAAAAGTCCTCTCATGCTTCATGGCTCAATCAAAATTACTGTTAATTGTAAAACTTACCGATCATAAGAAGAGCAACAGCAATGTGATCTCGTCCGGTTGCTCGGAGGGCTCCGAGTAGAGCTCCGGCGCCGGCGCAAACAAGTCCTACAACGCCAACTCCCAGGATGGACCAGCGCACTGGTGGTGAACCCAAACCACAGCATTGTTTTGGCACCACGCCCCTTTCAAGAACAAACAAACACATATTCCTTTTACACGAATTTGCTAGATAAATGCTCTTAAGTAATAGTAATTTAACAGCGTTTTAAATATGCTTGCACAGAAGAACAGCGTTCTGTGTGAACATTGAAATTAAAAGAGATTGCCTAAATATTGTGATAAATGAACTAAGCTAGTCTTAAATCTTTTAATAAAAACTTTCAAAAGTTTAAACAATTAGTTAATTATCTTGAAAGATATTAAGACAATATTATTTTAATTTATAATTCACAAATATTTTTTACGACACACTTTAATAATTTTCCTTCGCAAAGCACATAATTATTCTTCTATTTTGTATAAAATATTCAGAGTAATTTGTATAATTTTATTTTTTATTTGTGAGTTCGATAATTAATACCTTGTTAAATACTTCGACAAATATTTAATAAATTAATTAGTGGTCAATGGTATTTGCAGAATATCAAACATAAAAATCATTGATTGAATTCGATCAATCTTAATAAGGATTTTATTATTCTATTATATATTCATTTATTATAAATTTATTTGATACTCAAATAACTTTAATGACATTTATGGTATTAAATTAAAAAAATTTAATAATTTATATTTACTTCGATGCTTTATTTGTGATATAAATAATATTTAGTAATTGATAGTAATTACCATTTAATTATATGATTGATTAAAATAATGTTCAATTTATTTTTTGCAATAACAAAGTAGTATATGCAACTGTTTCTTGATATTTTCCAATTGAAAAATATTTTTCTTAATACAGATATATATTTTTCTTTTCGTACAATTGTTTATACTATTAGTATTGAAATAAATTTTATGATTTTGTTTATAATTTTTAGCGCTACTTTATATATATATATATATATATATATATATATATATATATATATACTAATAAATGCTTGATGTAATAAATATTTAATAATCTTTAATTAATCATTAATTTTTTAATCTTTGATTAAAAATTATTTGTAATATTAAAAGATTACTTTAGTTGTTGTTAACTACTATAATTTAAGAAAATTGATTAATAACGATGTTATTCTGAAGTCTCATATTGTTTATACTCTTATTTGTGTTTAGTTTGCCGTATTTTGATCATCTATAGGGAAATTATTTATCACGTCACTTTTGGTAATTATAAATTTCAAGAAAAAGTATACAAGAAGAACTTTTAAATATTTTCCTGATATATTTAGAGTCCTGAATCAATCAAAATATTTATATAAATGCCATACATTCATTTTTAATGAGATGAAGGGAAACTACTAAATAACAGTTTTGATTCTCATAAAATCAGGAGTCTACTCGATGAGCAATATCGAGGCCCTGTTCTATGAAGTTGTGACCTCTAGTGACACGGACTCCTATACTTTATTCAATATGAATTCTTCGTAAAATTTGTCTTGACTTAGTAATGAGTTAGAACAAGAGTAAAGCGGGCATAGGTACATTTTAACAGTTATAAATAACTCCACTTGAGTTGCTTTAACTCGTAATTCCAGTTCATTGGTTATCACATGTATTTATATATGTATTCCTTGTATGATGCATTGGTCCTTGAATAAAATATACAAAATTACAAATACATTTTGTTAAATAAATAATTAGATGCCTTGGAATATCTAGAAACTATCGTGGAATCGACTTTGGAAATTTGAAAATAGCAACAAATCAACCGTATTCCACTTTCTATACTCTCTTTCTCTAACACGTAATTTTTGACATAATTATCAGTGGGAATTTATATGAAAGTTATATAAAATATTTATTTTATATAACTTATATAAACTTCTCTTTTATGAATATCTAATAACGAAAAAAATAAAGAGGAAGTGTTTATTTTTCAATGAATTTTTTATAATATTTTTAGGAATATTATTCGTTTATATTATTCGTATTATTTAGGCTGGAAACTATATGCTAAAAAAAATATTTCTAATTCAAATGTATAGTTGTTGTATATACACATTAAATGCTGTTATTGATTTATATAATTATTGAGTCAAGCTTAAGCAACATTATGTGCTAAATAACAGAAAAATTCAAGACTTCGAAGAAATATGATGGATACTATGTTTTTATTAAGTGAAAATGAAGTCAAAGATCATAGCTTCGCATCTAAGTCAACAATCACTAGGAAAATATTTCAACTACAATAGCATTTCAAAAGTTAATTGTATAACAGTAAACTATTTAGAAAATTAGGTTTTTATTACATCAATTTCCGATTTATTTTATAATATACTCATATTATACAATATTATTTAAATACAATATTTACATAAATGATTTGTTATATTATTAAAGTATATTATTAAAGAACATTTTTATTATCAAATTTGATACCGTTTATCGTTAATTGAAGAATGGTAAGGAAATGCGGTGCTTTCTCCCCCCCCCCTATCTTTCATTACTTCTACTTGCATTTAATATCTCTATAACTCGTATACTGAACTATTATTATTATTATACCTCATTTTTATTTAAAAATAAAACGAAAACATGATTTTATTGCTGGTGGTACTTTCTTATATGTACACTCATTTCATATGTAAAGACTGAAGTATTTCAACATTTTTTTATCTTCGCCAATCGTGTCAATTATTCTTATTGAAATTGTAATATATTTTGCTTTTGTTTATTGATAATGCTAGTTTATTTTATTATAAATACGTTTATTTTTGAAAAACTAACTTATTAATATCTGATTTTTCTTTCGATAATATTATAATATAAAATTATATTAATTATTTAAAATTCATTTATAATTATAACTAATCAATTCTAAAAAAATTTTAATTAATAAGTTTATCATCTACAATGTTGTTAAAACTATTGATTTTACCAAAACATGAATTAAAAATATAATAATACGTTATAATGTTTTTATTTTAATGAATATTTTAATAAAATTTATTTACTTTTTCTTTTGAAATTGTTATTCTACAATTAGCATATTACATATATGTGCTTTATGTTGTAATTATACATAAAATAAAGAAATATAATGTAAAATTATATGGCAATTAATAATATATTAATTTAGAAACAAATACAACTATTGCTTAATAAATATTGATATTTAACAAAGACATGGAAAGACAAACATTACGAAATACTAAGTGAAAATTAAAAATAAATTAATTTATTATTCTTAAATCAATAGAAAAATAGGAAAAAATTTTGATTTTTTTTATCATTTCCTCCTATATTCGGTTATTTACAACGAACCAATAATTGCTAGTAGAGTTAGATATTTAATTATTATTATTCATCAAACTAAAATAAAAAAAATAATAAATAAATATATACAGGCGTGTATATGTTATACATTACCATTATTTCTAACAATTCTTATATTTTTTCTACAAAAAAATCAAGTCAATTTTTATGAAAAAAATTTTCAAATGCTTAACTTTACATTAAAAAGTAATTTGACAATAATACATATATTTACGTTTTAGTAAATATATTGTATTCAATGGATAATTATTTATACATGTCCCGTATTAATAGACAGCGTTTATAACGATTTATAATAAAAATAATAAAAAAATCATTTATATAGAAATGTATAGAAATATGTATTGCTACTTTACAAATGATTAATTTGGAAATGAGATATACTAGAAAAATGTGTAATAATATTTTTATTTTAGAATTTTATACAAAAATAATTTATTTAATGTATTATACTTACAGTATAATAGTTGCATTGATATTATAAAAGCACTATGAATGTACTATCTATTGAAATGAATTTGTAAACTATTATTATTAAACTCGCAAATATATTTCTACGCATATTAATTTTTTATATTAATTTGTTATAATTAATCTTTGAAATTAAAATTCTGTAAGTTAATAATGATAACTAATATTTATTATGACTAATTTTCTTAGACTCTGGTTTAAAGCAAAGTTTATTCTTGAAATGCGACCATCTATTAAACTAATTTTCTATTATTCCATGGAAAACCATTAATAATATCATTATATAACATGAAGTAAAAAATCAATATTTTCTATATCTATATATATAGATATTCTGTGCAATAAACGAACACAGGGTTTTCCCTAGAAAGAGGAACAATTTAATGTATAACAGTGAGTTTTGTAGTGAAATTTTCAATTTTCTGCAGCGATACTTTAAAGATATCTTTCACGTCATCGTCCTTTTTTTGCAAAATATATTATCTCCAGCAAACTCAATCCCTATTAACTGTTTTCTTTTGTTGCAATTAAAGTCTATGAATTTTAAAAAAGGATGCACTATTTATATTACATTTTGAATATCTAAGAGATTAGCGTTGTTATTCAAATGGTACTACCATTATAAACTATTATGTTATGTTCATAATTTATTACCACTTTAGTCGAGTCTTTTATGATTTTCTTTAATTTATAATAATTACTTTAGAAGAATCCAAACTAGGTGCATAGGAATAATTATCTATTCATTAAATTAATAGATTGAATAGATAGATCTTAAATTTACTAAACTTGATTCAGTATGCTTACATAAAAAATTTTTCGACTATTTCGCTAATAAATGCTTAACTCAGAAATTTTCTAAAAAGAAATTTAATATACTAATGTATAAGTAGTAAGATTAACCGAGAAATTGGAATTCATAAAAAAATACTGAAAACAACCGAAATAGAAGATCGAAAATTGCCACGCCTTCCTTCAAAACAATATACGTTTGCGTTTAACCCAAAGTAAACCTCGTGAGTCAATCATCTATACTTGAGTGTTATTAACTCATTCAGTATATTATAAGTACCAAACCGAATGCTACTAAATAAACAACAGAATGCAATTGCTGAATTTAATACAGTGCACATACAGGTTTAGATTTAAGAATAATTAATTTTTCTGCAAAAATAGAAGATTTTTACTAAATACTAATTTCACACTTAAAATCAATTTTATGGTCTTTATAATAATATAATGAATTGAATGTATAATATAA